GTCGTTTAATGCCCGGTCAAAGCCGGTCAAAGTTTTGGTCAATAGTGGTCAACGGTCAACGGGTCGGGTCGGGTTAACGGGTCGGGTCGGGTTATGATCGGTCAAACCGGTCAACTATGCATCAAAACCGGTCAACCCGATCATTTGGACCATCCCCACGCGTAGTGGTGGCGCGTGGGTACTGTTCCGGCAGCGTAAAATTCTCAGAAAAAATTATAAAAATTATTTTGAGCGATTTTGAGATACTTACAAAGCTCGGTTCAAATTTTTGAACGGCGGAGAGCTCGATTTCAACAAATCGGAAACTTTGACCGCTTCACCTCCTCACGCTCCGCCGTCGGCGGAGACCAAGGATGACACCGGCAGACTCGGAACGATGCAAGGAACACGATGGTGCGAGAGGTGTCGTAAACGGATGACCCGATCGTCGTGAATCGATGAAAAACCAACTAAAACCGAGTTATTACTGACGATACTTCCGACTGAAATTAACGATGAACGACAACGATTCACGACGAAAAATTTGAGGGGTTTTGTTCCTCGGTTGACAACGAACACGATGGTGGTTTCATCTCGTCGATCGGAGGTCGGACGGCGAGTATATTGGAGTTGAAAGTTGGTTGATCGGAGAGGGAAAACTGGGAAAATTATGCTGATCTGCGCACGGGAGAATTTATAATTCTCTCTTATAGAAAATCGGCTAAATTAATAGTTTAACCACTAAATTTCATGCACTTCTTAAAACGGTCTTCCAACTTTGAAAATATTCAATTTAATCCTCAATTTCTTCCAAAATTCTAATTAAATTCGCCACTTTAAAATTTCTTAAATTTAGCCCCTGGGGTGTTACATAATTAATTAATTAATTGAACCACAACTAAGTAACAACCATGAATCAATTGATATATAACTTCTTTATTGAATTTAAAATTTTACATCTCAACTAAAATTATGATTTTTTTAATTAACTATTAATTTATTAGAAAATATAAGATTCTAATTTTTTAAATAATTTTAAATATTTAATTCCGTCTTTATAAATAAAAAATTAAATTAAAAAGATAATTCTTATAATGAATCTTTATAATATTATATCAAACTTAATCAATCAAAAATCTTTCTTAATTATTAATAATGCATACACGCATTGCAGATGTAACTATTCAAACTCAGGACTTCGAAAAAGAATAACACTCCATTTAGCCAATCAACTTTAAGAGTCATGTAAGATCTCGCTATTGAATCGACAGTTTATTGGTACGTATTCAAGGGTGGAACTAGAAATTTATTATAGCGAGGTTAAAATATTTTTTATTTTTCATAAATGCAAATTTATTTTAAATGAGGGGGTCTGCAAATTTTTCTTTAATTATTTTTTTCAAAATTATATAATCTTTTAATAGTAATTAATAATTTATCCGCGAGTGTACGTATTTATTTTTGTTATGTGTATATAATTTACATTTAAAAATATATGTTATGATAAATATTTACTAATTATCTAGAGTTAATTACATCATATGTCTTTAAACTATAATTTTTATTTTAAATTAATCTTTAAAATTTTAAATATTTCAATTTCATCTTCAAACTATGACTTCCATTTTAAACGAGTCCTTAAACTTTTTGACATTCTAATTGCATCCCTAAACTATGACCCTCTTCTTAAATTGGTTGCCAAACTTTTGAATTTTTCAATTTTATCTACAAATTCATCCAAACATTTAATTAGTTTCATGTAAGATCTCGTTATTGAACCGACAACTTGTCAGTATGTATCTACTTTTTTATGTGTATATTATTTACATTTAAAAATATAAGATATGATAAATATTTACGAAGTACTTAGAGTTAATTACTTCATATGTCCCAAACCATAGTTTGACCTAAATTTATTTTTTCAAACATATAATAATATAACTTGGCCTAACAATTTTATTAACAAGAAAAGTGATTAGTATATACATGATAAAATTGAAATGTTCAAAAAATTTAGAACCAATTTAGAATGAATGACATAGTTTAGGGATGAAATTGAATATTTATAAGTTTAGGGACAAGTTAAAAAAGAAAGATCATAATTTAAGGACATGTAATGTAATTAACTCAATTGCTTATATAGGACAAATTAATCTTGGAGCAAATGCATGTTATAGAACCGTACTAACTTGAAATATTGGCCCACTTAAATGCTTCATTAATTATGCACGTAAATTATTCGACAAGTTTTGTAGTGTGACATCTTTAATATATAATTAAAAAAATATTATTAGTTTTGTTATTATTTAAATAATAAAATTGATAGGAAATTACTTAAAATATTATTATTTTTATTTAAAATATTAATATTTTTTAATATTTCTGGTAAAATGTCCAAAAATAACAAAATCGATAGTGTTTTACAGGTTTTATTAAAAAACCAATAAAACGCCCAATACTAACAAAACCGATAGAAATAATAATGTTTCCGATAAATTTTTACCGGTTTTGTTATTTAAATAATAACAAAATCGATAACATCTTTTTTAGCCGTATATTAAGGCTGCCGAACGTGATCATTTCCCAAAGTATTTCCCGTGATTTAGGAAAAGGAGAAAAAATATTAGGGTAAATTATCTATTTGACACTTTATTTGTAAGGTTTTATTTTGATCATCCAATTATTTGTTTTGTAAAATTGTAATTATTGTTTTGTTTTTATTTTGGTATTTTACTATTAAATATGATGGTTGGTTTAATAGAAATGGTGAGGGGAAAAGGTATAATAACAATTTTAGTCACAAAACTTATATATTTTTATCAAATTAATCTAAATTTAAAATAATTCAATAAATCTTAATATTTAAAATTCTTATGAATTCAATCTTTTATATTAATTTTAATTTGGAAAACAAACCTTACTGTTTATAGGTGTAATTAGGATAAAAAAAATTCCGATGACAATTTCCAAAAATTGACGGTGATAATAAATTAAAAAATAGTTAGAAATTGACAATGTCCATTTTCTAGAGCCTGTTTTCGAAAATTCAATGTTTCAATATTCAATAAGAAATATGTGCATTATATGTTAATATGAACATATACTAGACAGTTGACATAATGATACATTTGTGTTTTTTTATTTATAATTATAGGTATTTAATTTATTGACCAACTAATATGTATTAGGTACTACAGAGGCAATAGTGACTCTCTTAACCTAGTTTGCTATATTCCTTAACGCCAAAATTCTAAACCTGACATTGCTTAAAGGATCTAATATATCATCTCATTATACTCATTTGCGAAAATCTTAACTTTTATTAAATAAATTAAAAAATTGTATGTATAAGTTCCGGTATATTAATAATTTTAACGATTATATCAAAATTTTGTGTATTTTTAAAGGAAAAATAGAGAATATTTGAAAAAGAAAAAAAAAGTGGAAATAAAGCTGCAGTCTTAACTTTATCGAAAACTTTGCTATCCCTTAAAGAATCAACATGGAAGTGGACATATTGATTCATGCTCCATAGAGACCAGAAAAAGGAGTAATCTAATATTATAATTAGTAAGGGCAAACCATATCGATGGTCCCTATTATTTTGACAGTAGAATTGCGTCTCACGTATATACTTTTACTAAGTAAAAAAAAAAGATGAGAAAACACGTTGGTTATATCAAAATTCGGGAACAACAATAATTTTAGTTTAATGAAATGCTGACATGAATAGAAAAGGAACAATTCAAATATCACTAAAAACATCGTAAAAGTATTTTTACGAGAAGGTTTTATCGATAACATAAGAAAACATTGGGAGCACGACAAATATTTTTCCTTTTAACCCTATAACATAGAAGGAATATGTATCGGTTCAAAAATAATAGTTTGAATATCTTACGTTATCTGTTTGTTTGATTTTGATCCCTTACTCATTAACTCCCGTCAATCTATTAACGGAAGTCTGAATCGACAATTAAAAGATAAAAATTTCTACATATCGTTCTACCTCTTCTATCATAAATCTACGGTATAAACAATATATATCATTCATGAGTGTAATATCTCTATGCAAGAGCAAGGATTGTTTTCCACGTATCTATATATTATTGTGTTTCTTTGCTCGTTTAGTAAGAATATTTTTCAGTTTTCAGGGGGAAAAAAACAAGAAATATTTTCCCAGAAAGAAAATGATGAATTTTAATATTTGTCTATTTTAACACAGTTTGAAAGCTTAACTTGGCACCAATCTTATATTATATTTCAAGTCTAGAAAAGGCATTCGATTGGTCCGAAAGCATGGGCTTTTTTTATAGTTTGAACCAACAAAGATGGCGGCAGTCATTGAATGAGAGGTCTAAGCTAATCAGTAAAGCTTATTAGGAAATAATAAACATGCTCAACTCGTTTAGCCAATCATTATATTTTCTTTTATCAAAATCATTAAGTTTTATTAATTGACAAAGACACATTAGTAGGGATGTATATTTGATATGAATCTGACATGTTTTGATACTATGTGATATTTTATTTTTGCAAATTTAGATTTGAGTGGAGTGAGATTTTTTTAAATGATGAGATTAGGTCGAGTTAAATTTATATTTAAGATGAAAAATAAAATCCATCTTTTTATATTTAAGAGTAATTGTTAGAATATATTATTTTTTCTGTTTTTTTAAAATTAAATTCCTATTTATCTAATTAAAATGATTTTTATATATATAAACTTTTATCGAGTTAAGCATAAGTTTTTACCTTAAAAATTAATTCAAATTTTAAATCAGATGAAACTTTCATTAATCTTGATTGAATAACAAGCGAAAAAAAATTATAATAGAATCAAATATGAGTGGATCAAAAACCCATGATCATCCTTACACGAGACGTGCCATTAATGAAGGTATTATACATATATGTTTAAATAATAATCATATCTTAAAACGTCATCGTTCGCTTCTTCTCCCTCTTCCTTTTAGGGTTTAAGATTTATTTTCAGGGTTTAAGAGCCTATTCAGAAAAAGAAAAAGAAAAAGAAACTATCCAATCCCCAATTCCCTATGAATGATAAAAAACAGCTTCAAATTCTTCTTTCATCTGACGAAGAAGAAGCAGAAAGCCTCGAAAATTTTCCCAGGCCCCATTTCTTACAGAACATTTTCGGATTCCAACTTTGGTTGTCCACTCAAATTCTTCTCTCATTTGAAGAAAGCTTCAAATTACCCAAACCCTTATTCCTTCAACAAGCTTCTCCACAGGCTGACAGCTTCCGACTGTGGCGCACTCTCTCTAAAGTTACTGTCCTTCTTCCTCTCCAAAGGGTATACCCCTTACCCTTCTTCTTTCAATTCATGCAGATCCTTTTTATGTAAGTTAGAACATTCCGACTATGCTCAAAAGCTTGTAAATTTGATGCCTTTGCATGGGTGTGAGCCGGATATTGCAACTTATAATTCTTTGATTGATGGGTATTTTAAATGTGGTGATGTTGTTAAGGCTTGTTTGGTTGTGAATGAAATTAGGATTGGTAATTGCATGCCTGATGTGGTTACGTTCAATGTGTTTTTTAATGGGTTCTGTAAGATGAATATGAAGAAGGAGGCATTTGTTTATATGGGTTTGATGTGGAAATGCTGTTTGCCGAACGTGGTTACTTATAGTACGTGGATGGATATGTTTTGTAAAATGGGGGATTTGGATATGGGGTTTAAGGTATTTAGGGATATGAAGAAGGATAAGGTGGTGTTGAATTCCATCGTGTTTACCTGTTTGATCGATGGCTGTTGTAAGGTTGGTGATTTCGAAGCCGCATTCCAATTGTGTAAGGAAATGAAACGGGTTGAGGTTGCGCTGAACGTGGTTACTTATACCGCTCTCATTGATGGTCTTTGCAAGAAGGGAATGCTGGAAAGGGCTGACTGCTTATTTTTCAAAATGTTGAAAGATAAAGTTAAGCCTAATTCCATTGTCTATACTTCGATCATTGACGGGCATTTCAAAAAGAGTAATGTGATTGATGCCTTCAAATATTTAGGTAAGATGTATGTTCATGGAGTCGAGTTTGATATGGCAGCATACGGGGTAATAATAACCGGCCTTTGTAATACTGGTAGGTTTGATAAAGCATCAATATTTATGGAAAATATGATCACGAGCGGATTGCAGCCTGATAAGGTGTTGTTAACCACAATAATGGATGCCCATTTCAAGGCTGGGGATGTAAAAGCAGCACTGAATGTCTATGGTGAACTATTGGCCTGTGGTTTTGACCCTGATGTTATAGTTCTTACAAGCTTAATGGATGGCCTCTGCAAGCATGATCGTCTTAATGAAGCTGAAAGTTATTTTTGCAGAGAAAAGGCTAATGAAATATCTTATACCGTGCTTATTGACGGGTTGGCCAAGAAAGGGGATTTTACTGAACTGAATAGGCTTTTTAGGGAGATGTTGGAGGCAGGATTCACTCCGGACAAATATGTATATACTTCTTGGATTGCGGGGCTTTGTGAGCAAGGAAATTTGATAGAGGCCTTTATAGAAAAAAGTAGAATGGTTCAAGAGGGTTTTCAGCCGGATCTTTTGACTTATAGCTCCCTTATTTTCGGTTTAGCGAAAAAGGGTTTAATGATTGAAGCAAAGCAAATATTTGAGGACATGCTTAAAAGGCAAGTTACGCCTGATGCTGCAGTTTATGAAATTATGATCAGAGGATATCTACAGCAGAATAATGAAGCTGCTGTTGCTGCTTTGCTTGAGGAAATGGAAAAGAGGGGTTTCTCAACAGCATCATGCAAAGTAGGTGGAGAAAATGAATTTTGACAACACGTAATGCCTTGGATTTATTAGTTCGGTCAAACTTGTCTAATTATTCCCGGAATTGAAAAAGAGCCCCTTTCAGTTTGGGTTGCTTACTAGATCATGGAACATGAGATATCTTCATAGTAGGCATCCATACACCATTTCAGGGTTCTGCCAAGTGGAAACTTTAAGCGAATAGAATTCATTTGTGATTGCAACAGAAGGGGAAGATCATTGATTGCCTTGCTGTTTTATGCGACATTGATGAACAAAAAGTAGGTGATCAATCTGATAATTTGTCACCGAGTAGTGCAGCCTTTGTAGTCGCTTGATGTCCTAATTCGGGTTTTTGGCCTTTTGCAGTGGATCTTAACTTTGCAGAATACACGCCTCCATCCTGTCTTGATGTTTCACTACTGAACCCAACTGTAGAAGGAACCTAGATGCATGCCTTTGGGAATCATCACATGCGTTGGGTAAAAATATTGGTAACAAATCTGTCGTGTTACTAATTTATCTTGCTTCTTGAAATTGGGAGATGTGTTCTAAACTTAAAATTGCAATATAAATGTTTGCTAGCTTTAAATTGAGAGATGTGTTCTATCCGATGAGCACATGTACGTGGCTTCCTTGAACTTTCTACTGGGTCTGCTTGCTGGAAATTTTATGATTACACAATAGGTTTCTCACAATATCTATATTGGTCTGGACCGGAAGATTTACTGTGCTCATTTTTCTTTTAAAATTATGTGTCTGGTGGGACGATTTCATTCACTATGAGTAATAATTGATTAGTTTTTTACAGCTCATTTTCATGTCTTGACTCCTTCAGACAATTCCATTTATGTTATATGCAGATTCACGAGCAATCTTTCAGCCTTCATACAGATGCCAAATGAATTTTGGATCTTGCCGAATTCCTCTTCCCTGAGAATGCAATATTTGTACAACGGCGACCGGGTTAGAAGCCTAAAATGACTATTCTTAAGTAAAAGATCTATGACCATTCTTTCAACACACAATGTGAAAACTGCTTGAATCCAAATTTTGGGGTTCTCAGTGTATAGTTCAGTGGATAAAATCTTATTTGGGTTCGAACAACTCGAAGGCTGATTCAATGCTCTGCAGGTAAGCAATGGAAGAGGAGAAAAAGACAGGTTACACCAGAATGAGCTTGTGCATCATGTTGGGTGAAAACCAGCACGAGGTTCGGACATGCCATCCCTGGTAATTCTCTCCGCGTTCCAAACTAACGTGCTTTGATCGGTCGATAAGGAATATTTGGAGAAAAAACAATGGCCCTTGTAGAATATTTGATAATCTCTTTCAGAGTGGCTATGAATCAGTGTTGTTTTATTGCTATTTCGCCGGTGGTGGATGCAGAGATTGAGATGAAGAGTTTCTTCTAAACTGTTGGACGAAATTTCCATATGATTTGGTCGTTTATTATTATTGCTGCAAATTAATTTTTCTATTTGATTTGATGTTAAAAGAATTGATTTAGTTTTATGAAAAAAGAAAAATAATTAATTTAGTATGACTACATTTGTAATCTCATAAATTTAATTTGATTTGAATTTTTTTAAAATAATATTTAGATTTTAAAATATGACTTGAATAACTTAAAACTTTTAGCAATTAGTGAATTGATTTTTAAGTTCAAGTTGACTTCTCAACTTTGCATGATATATGTGTATTATATATGAAGAAATATATATGTATTTCATATATGAAAAATATAAAGAAATATATTTATCGTATATGATTTTAGAAAGTCATTTAAATTAGATTCAATTTATATCATAATGTTATAAATGTTTATAACTAAATTGAAATAGAGATAAATTCAACTCGACTCAGGAAAATCTCAAATAAAAATTTGAGTTATAAAATATGACTTACTAACTCAATTAATTTAAATTTTTTGACTCGATTTAATTTAAATCGATAGAATACTCACCCCTAAATAAATAACAATGCGTCTGATAATTAAAATTTTAAAGAACTAAAAATTTAAGGATTTTATAGATTTTTGAAAATTTATAATTGAAAAAAATTAATTGTTATAAATAAATGGATTTTTTATAGAGAAAATAACCTCAGTGACCAAAAATCTCATATAATATACGATTTTAACTAACTTTTCCGGATTTGCCAAATGACCAATAAAATCGCAATGCGATCGCTAAATCGCAATGCGATCGCTAATTCGCAATGCGATCGCTAATTCGCAACGCGATCTCCATTATCGCAAATTCGCGTTGCATTTCGCGTTGCGATAGTTAGAAATCGCATTGCGATGGTATACAATGTCGTTGCGATTTTCCCAATTCGCAATGCGAATAAGTAAATCGCAACGCGAATTGGGAAAATCGCAATGCGATACTTACTATCGCAATGCGATAATACAAAATCGCAACGAGATACTGACTTTCGCAACGCGATTCTGACTTTCGCAACGCGATTTACATAGCGCCATTCGTATTAACGCGTATTTTTTTTTTCAAATTCCAAACACGAATTTTTTCTTAATAAATCGGAAACTGAACCGTCCACAGTAATCGTAACTCATAACCTCAAACCCAAAACACAACACTCAGTCCCATCTCCATCTCTCACTCTCTACGGCGAAATCCGTCCCCATCTCCGAAGATTTCCGTCCCCATCGCCGGCGAAATCCCTCACAGCCATTCACAGTCAAAATCCCTCACAATCATTCAGAAATGGAAAATCAACCTCCGAGGGTTAGTTTTTTTATTTTTATTTTGAAATTTTTGCATTATTTTAGGTTTTTCATATTGAGATTGATGATAAGTTTACTGGTAATTTCAATAATAGATTAACCATTTCACTTAGATTTCTTATTAAATTCATTCGATTGCTGCCAATACTGCTAAACCGTTTAGCCTGTGAAGTTAGTATTTGTCTTTGCTTTGTCTTTTGGTTGAAGTAATGCAGAAGAAGAATAGTTTCGAGAATGAAAATCGCAACGCGGAAATAACTATCGCAACGAGATAATCGCAACGCGAAACAAAAATCGCATTGCGATTTTTATTTCGCGATTGCGATTTTCATTTCGCGTTGCGATTGTCTGGTCGCGATAGTCATTTCGCGTTGCGATAGTCATTTCCGCGTTGCGATTCTCATTATCTCGTTGCGATTTTCATTTCAACCAAAAGACAAAAACTGTGTTGCAAATTTTAGTTTCAAGAATAAACTACTATTTATGTTTATTGTTTTGTTTTTGGTATATCTTGACAGTGTAATTTTTGGTATATCTAACTTGGTATGTTTATTGTTTTTTTGTAGAAATTTTTTTCGGCTTCATTGACATTAAGGAATAAAGTTAGCCTAGCCACTACAATTGCTTCGAAGCTTTCACCTGCACAAAGAAAATTGTTTGAAGAAACCTGCTTCGGGCCATGGCTGAGAGTACAGCATCCGGGTGGAGATGCTAGTTGACCCATTTGTGGCTTCAGACCATGACTAGCGATCTACCCGACAGTATACAACGTGGTGAGGAAGAGATATGGTTTCATTTTCCACCGGCGTATACTTGTTTTGGGCGGAAGGAGTTCTGCTTAATCACTGGTCTACGATTCGGACACGATGATGTAGGCCGGTACACTCGTCATATCACCCGCCCATCATGGTTATCCAGGGTTTTTCCTGATGAGTCAATAGAGAAGCCGAACTTACACGTCGACGACATGAAGAAATTGTTTAATAAGAAAGATGGTTTTACTCGGATGAATGACGTCGATGTTGTCCGAGTATGCCTTCTACTACTTTTGTATGCCGGTTTTTTAGGCAGAGAGGCCAGACAACCTATTCCTCAGGAGCTAATATTGGTAGAGGACCTAAATGCATGGAATCTGTTTCCGTGGGGTTCGTATAATGGAAAGCTACCTGGACTAAGTTGTCGTATGCCTTTGATGACCGCAAAGTTTGCGGGCGATGGGTCGAAATACACTTTGTCAGGCTTTGTTTGGGCCTTTAAGGTAAGAATTTCTATATAATGTTTCAAAATTATAATTAATTATTTAACAATTACTAATGTTTGTATTATATTGTTTGTAGATTTGGATATTCGAGGCCTTTCCCGCCATGAAGACATATGCAATAAAAACTTCAAATGATATTCCCAGGGCTATTTCCTGGAAGAGGAAACGTCTGTTGGATTGGGAAGACTTAATACCATATGCGACAATAAATAATGTAAGTTAACACAAATACTTTCATATATAAACAAGTTTAATATTAGACGTTTAACTTTGTTTGAGTTTTTATATTTTTAGGAGGCCAACATTCCATTAATGAGACTGACACCCACGGAGGCTGAGCTTGCCACTGATTGGTGGCAAGCTAGTCAGCGTTTTCTTGATGGCACGAATGATGAGCAACCTCCACTTCCTCCACTTCGAGAGCCATCACCTCACCTAGAGCCATCACCTGATCGACCCGACTATACACCTCTACAACGAGAGCCATCACCTATCCCGTCACATCATCGAGCCTCTTCTCCACCATCACCTCATGATAGGCGACCGGAAAAGATGCCACGACTTTTATCTCCCTATTCTCCACCTTCACGGGATGAGTCAAGGGAGTTACGTGATGAGGTCAATGCCTTGCGTGAGGAGATCGGTACTCTACTTGATAACGATGGTGCATGGCGTGTGGAGGTGTCTACTTTACGTGGTGAGGTTGCCGCTCTACGTGAGATGGTAGTATCGTTGCAGAATGAGGTTCATACTCTACGCAACGAGGTAAGTTTAAGATTTTCCATATTTAACTTGATGATAAATTTACTCGTAATTTCACTTAAATTAACCATTTCACTTAGATTGCTTAGTAAATTTATTCGGTTGCTGCCAAAACTGCTAAACTTTTTACTTTAACACTGTGAAGTTAGTATTTGTCTTTGTTTTGTCTTTTGGTTGAAAGTTTGAAATATATTTATCTTTGTTTTCACTGTTTAAATATCATGTCTGTTTATTTACTGATATTTGTATTTTTATTTAGCGGACCGATAAGGTGGATGCTTTACGTCGGGTTTTTCTTGCACGATAGAGTTCACGCATCAGACGGCGTGCACGTGCTATTAAGTCTCCGTATACCCCAATAGTGCGAAGACACCGCAAGAAGAAGCCCGACTCGCCTATCATCCCTCAAGAGTCCACTCCTATCGTTGAAGAGGCCCCTATCATTCCTCGAGAGTCCCCTCCCACCGTTCAAGAGGCCACTGTCATCGTTGAAGAGGTCACTCCCACCATTCAAGAGCCCGATTCACATGGCGTCATATGTAGGATTCTTGAGAAACCCTCTGACGTGCCGGACATGATGGATTCAAGCTGGCTCTCGTATGAGTTACCGGCCAGTACCATACCGGTATCTGAAGAGGAGAGGAAACAACTACCAGACACAATTCTGGATAACACCCTTTGGGCTAAGACCGCAGTTGATTTTTATCTACATGAGCGAAGCCAGGGGTG